GTTCTGCAACTTTGGATTTCCAGTAATATACTTTTAATTCCAGTCAGTTCTAAATACGATAGGTTGATATAGTTTGTAAAACAGGCAAGCTACAGCTCATTTTAATGCAGTAAGAAAATATTTTGTTAACCACTTGCAGTTGATATCAGATGACCCATGACGGTTTCTGTGCATTCCCAGAATTACTGATAGAATTAAGTCTTATTATTTGTAACATAAATACCTATTGATATTTTTTCTAGGCTAGATCTGAAATTAGAGAACAATTTTCGGTTCCCCCTCTATTCTTTTTTTCTTTCATTTGGAGATATTTATAACATGTTGTAGTTATCCCACTAAGAGAATAAAATCTGCTTCATTATACTGTTAATATCCAACTCTCCTGTAATTTCTGGTTATGATCATTATAAAGTAAGACATTTTATAATTACTTGAGATTACATCATCTTACATTCAAATGCTTACTGTGCATGAAATTTTACCATGCATTTCATCTATTAAAAATACAGATAAGTAGGTAAACTAGTGTCCGATGTCCAAATGTGACATTTTGGAAAAGAAATGATTAAACATGGCACCATTATTATATATGATTAAGAAAAAGGAAGTGGCTTCAGCTCTGTCATTTTCAATCTTCTGTAAATTTAAAAAAAAAATTCTGAAACTTGTCTCTATTTCTACTTGTACTGCAATAGAGAATCAATACCTTAGCTCAAATGCATCTTCAAAGTTTGGATAGCTTCACTTTTGTGCCAAGAACTTTTCCTTCAAATTTGGCCTTAACCTTGAAGGAAGTTTCAAGCCAATTAGAGAAGGGTTGCAAAAACAAAGAGCTAATCTATGAGGAGGGTTAAAGAACCACACAGATTGATGGATTGGAGAAATAGACAGCTGTGCTAAAGAGTTAGGTTCAAGGAATGCAAGCAATCAGAGAATCTGTAGGCAAACAGAATGACAGTGCAGGAACCTGGCAACACAGCCAGTCTGGAAGGGGTGTGAATGTCACATGGGTTGTGGGTCCAGGAGGAGTCAGGCAGGTGTGCTGAAGACCTGGGCTGAGTCCAGCTGTAACAGAATCAGGAACGGAGTGTATGGTGGAGTGGAGGTCCCGAGTAAAACAGAGAATGGAAATATGGGAGAACTTTGGATCTGGCAGAAAGGAGGGCTGGGGTTCGTAGAGAGCCAGGCTGGCTAGATAGTTCTTTTCCAGCTGAACACTCAGATAAACTTGGCAGTCAGAGAGGGAGGAAGCCCAGTGCCACAGTGGCCAGCTTGTCCAAGCATGTAGGACATTCCTCAGATTTGCACATGCATGCACACATCTGTTGCGGTAAAGTAGAGAAGTCACAATTCAGTCCCATTTTGCCTGGACATGCTGGCCTTCTTCTTAACCCTAATCTGGAAGATGTTCCTAAATTTCAGTAGGCAAGATGTGTTTAACTTTAGATAGTTGTATGGGAGAATTTTGTAACTTGGTGTTCTTGGGTTTTTTTAAAAAAATGTGTGTACATACATACATACATACACACACACACACACACATACCTACATACATATGCATAAATAATGTAAAATATTTATGAAAACACCCTTTCCATAGGTAGTACAGGTACACCAAGTAGATTATTGGACTAAAAATCAAGGAGACCCAGGTTCTAAAAAGTTCTGAGTCAGACGGTGGATGGGCAGGTTACTTACTCTTGGCCCAACCTATCTCATAGGATTGTGGAAATAAAATTAAAAGGATTTCTTTCCCCACAGACCTCTTGAGCGCTTTAAAAAAACAGATGATTATAAATTAGATGTGCTTAAGCAAGTTTCTAGTCACATTCTTTTATCTGAATTAAAATGTCACAAAAAATATACCAATTCATTGCAGTACAGTCCCCTTTAAACACTTAATCTAAGAAAGGATTGCAATATACTTTTTTTTGTAATGCTAAACAGTTTGTGTGGTTTTCTTTTCTGTGGATTGTCTTGCGGTAAAAATGGGTAGTTTTGCCTTCCTACAGTATCAATAGATTTATTGAGTTTGGTAGCAGCTGAGAGAATTGGACCAGAAGTTATGTATAGTATGAGTTAGGGATATTATTTTAATATGTGGGCAGCTTTCTAATTCAGTGACAGAATATCTCTCTGCTTTAAACTAGTTTTCCTCTGCTAATTGATGATACCTGCCAAGAGAGACTTATATTGTAACAATAGTCACACTTGATGCTTTACTATCTATAAAATCTATACTCTTTACATTATTTATCAGGTGTGTTATAGAGTTTTAATGCTGCTCTGTGGACTTTGGGGCCATCCTGTCCTGGCTGTGCGGATTCTCTTTGAGATGAAAAATTCTGGCATAGAACCAAATGCAATTACTTATGGCTACTACAATAAGGTAAGCAAAGAATTAGCAAATACCACATAAGGAAGATTTATAACTTACTTCCTTATCACTGTTGCATAACAGTGATATAATTCTATCTGACTGAGATTGCAGGACACGGATTATAAAGATGTAAAGTATGGCTTTGGAAATATTTTTCTTAGTAAATTCACTCTTCCAGGCAGTTTTGGAGAATCCCTGGCCTAGCAGTAATCGCAGCGGTATATTTCTTTGGACAAAATTGCGGAATGTGGTACACAGTATGGCACAATTAAGGCAGTGTCTCAAAAAGTCTACACAGACTTCACAGGTTGCTTCAATACCAGGTAATGTCACAATCCTTGACTGCCATAAACAAATATAAATCCTTCAGATTAGTCATAAACTCTTATTACGGGGTAATGTGATTGCATGTGAGATAACAGACACAATTAAATACAAGTGCAGAGTATCAAACAGAGTACTGCAATGAGTGTGGGGATATGTGCTGTTTTCCTAAGCGTTTATGTCTTAAGTAGCTGTACCACGAAGCAGGAGCTTTAAGATATCACTGAAAGGAAGGGGATGTGAAGATTTGGGCTTTGGATCCCCCCAAATGGCCCCTGATAAGCACACTGAGTAGGGGTGGATTGGTCTTCATTTGCCAAAAAAGGTCTTGAGTCAATCCTTCAGCAATGTTGTAGGTTACCATATTGCTGCTGTTTGTTTTGTTTTTTTAAACTAATACATTATTGTTCCTGTCCTCAGCTTCACGGAAGATCCCAGGTGGAAGTGATGGGGACACGGTGAGCCATGGTAGTGTGGATAGTTCTAATGATGCTAACAGTGGGGAGCACACTCTCTTCGTCAGAGACTTAGTCAGGCTTGATTCCATTGATAATCACTCTAGCACAGGTATTAGATCTGTTGGGGTTCACTAACTATGCAATGTCTTTCTAATATACTGCTGGTATTGAATATTGTTTCTGTTACAAAGATTGTGTGTGATAGAAAGAGGAAAAGGTAAATGTTCTCTGCTCCCTGCCAATCCCATGAATAACAGAATCCAAACTGTGGTCCAGATTGCTTCACCAGGAAGCAAATTGCATGTATAGATCACAAGTTGGATGTACACGCTTAGGTTGTGCAGCTGTTGGAGATCGCTTTTTCTCTCTGTTTTTCTCTCTTTCTCTCGTAAGAGAAAATTAGCTAATCAGCAGGAAGTGGAAGAGACAAGGTAGAAAGTGATCGTATTAGTTCAACATAAAGAACTGTGGTTTTATACTAACTTGAACTTTTGTGTTTATTCAGCCTGAATAAACCTTTTTTTTTTTTGGCTTTCAGCACAGGTGAACTATATGTAAGAACATACAGTGCGCTGAACCCTGATAGAATTATGTGATCCCAGGAAGATTTTGAGTGAAGGAGGCACTGATAAAGAGTACTGCAACTGGTTCTCTTTATCTCTAATATATATCTTCCTGGGGATCGTGCTGTATCCCAAATATTTATTTAATTGAACTTGGGTAAAATTTGTATGAGGGCAAAAGGAGTACACTGGGATCACTTTATGCTAAACATGGAATACTGTGTTTCAGAAAATTTCACAGTAATTTGCATTAGGTGGGGAAAATTCTATATTTAGCCCACATTTGTTGATTAAAGATAAGTTTGTGAAGGATTTTAAGTGCAGATGGCTGAATCTTTCAGAAAAGAGTTTCCTGACTTTCATCTTGCTATAAGTTACATATTTTAAATGAAATAAAGATCATAATTTTTTAAAAATCTTGCTCTTAAATGTAAATCTAAATGTTGTCCCGTTCCTCAGTTTTCTCTACTAAACTTTCTTGACTTCCTTCTTTTTAAAACAATTTTAGTCTGTCTCTGTTTTGCGTAGATGGCTTCTTGTATTTGTCTAGTCGTAGATAACTAAATATTCCTTCTCTCTGATCCTTGTTGCTCTGCTTCTTGCTCTGTGCTGTCTCTTGGTGCTGCATTTGTCCTTGGCTGTCATGGTGTGGGGTGCAGACTTGTGTGGTGCGAATCCTTGGAGGCAGATGTGCATTAATTCTGCTGTTGAATGTTAAACCCTGCAGGTAATTTTCCCGTGAATTAATGTAAATCAATATTAAAAAAAAACAGTGGGTGACTTTTCAACCTGCTATTTTAAATAATAGTAAGTTGCTCTGGAAACACCCACCCACACATAGCATATGTCTCAGATTTCATTCATTGATGGCATTTTGCTCCTTCCATTTATTATTTAAATAGAAAGATGCTGTGTTTCTTCAGCCTGGGATTTGACTGTTGTTCAAGTTGCAAGCCTTTTTACCTCTGGCCATGTTACTAGAGGAGTGTAGAGAGAGTGAGTCACCAGTATTTTAGGACAGTATTTTTTTTTCTCAAACATAGCAACTTTGCATACCATCTGGAGAATTCTGAGAATTGAAGTTCCACACCTTAAAGTTGTCAGATTTTTAGGATATAAAATCAGTGTTTTTCAAACGAATTATATCAGCCTCAAATTTCAGCATTTGTTTTTTTTAAAACCTCTGAATCTGTTGGAATTATTGATGAATTATGGGAGTTATAGTCATACTTAATCTAGAAGCCACTTGGTTGGGAAAGGCTGTATTAGAATAAGAAAAGGACTGCTCTTGAGGTTATGAAGGTAGCACTAGCACAGCTAAGTTCTGTAGCCAAGGAGAGCAGGGCTTATACCAGATTAGTAGAGCTCAGACAAGATTAATACAGGGGGAATATTAATTTAGATACGCACATAAACAAGCAAACAACAGCAGTGAAATCATTTTACCTCAGAGGGAAGAGGGGCAAAGGGATTAATAAGGTCCCTTGATATGTGCCATCAGAAGGGCTGATTTATCAGGAGTTATAAAGCTGATTTTGCTTTGGCACCTGGGTACCTATAGCACCACATGCCCCAACCAGGGTGAGCCTGGCTTATTTGGTCATATAGGGAGAAACTGCCTATAAGTGCCCCACTTAGAGGAGATAAAGGGACCTGAGGCTTCGCATTAGTAGTGCTGGTTCTGTAGAACAGCCGCCCTGTGGAAATGAGGCTGGTGACCTCCTTGAACTGTTCTAGAGCACCCTAGTTATATTGACCCATTTCTGTTTTTTGTTTTTAGTTGTTTTGTTCATGAGTTACTGTTAACTATTGCGATATTTTGATTTTATGCTGAAGACTTTTTTAAAAAAATATAACTATCTGAGGATCAACCCTGAGAGTGATTTGATTGTAACTGATGAACTGAATGGAAACAAATGTGATTCTTATCTCCCTGTTGTGGGTTACCCGCATCACCTTCTGTTAATGTTCAACTATAATAATACACTCTGCAAGTTAGATCTCAAACATGCCTTTCACTGCACCTTCTGCTGCTGTTCTTTCTTCACTGGATTTCAGATACGCTTTTATTAATAAATTTGGTTTAAAATAAAACTTTGCAACACACATTTCTCGTAATTAAAATTTTATGTTCTGAGGGCAGAGAGAGAAAAGCAAATGGACAAGTCTTGTTTCTCCTTTCCTCCCCTTCCCTCCCTCCCCACAGGAGGCCAGTCGGATCAAGGCTACGGTTCCAAAGATGAACTTATAAAGGATGATGGAGACCACCTACATTCAACAGATGTGCTTATAGAAAAAGATCTTGCTGCAAAAGCTGAAGACTTAATTGGAGGTGCGTTAAATGGATGGGAGATTTTTTTCTTTTAAAACAGGCTTTCCAGAATTGGTTTTATCTGGCTTGATAACAGCACTTGTGCAAAAGATCGAGTAGTTGATTACTAAATCAACACAGGTAGTCCTCAATTTACATTTGTTTAGTGACGGTTTGAAGTTACAACTTCACTGAAAAGAAAATGACTTAGGATTGTTTTTCACACTTACGAACATTGAAGCATGCCCATGGTCATGTGATCAGAATTTAGCTGCTTGGCAACTGGATCACATCTATGATGGTTGCAGTGGCCCTGTGGGTCACGTAATCAACTTTTGTGACTTTCTGAAAAGCAAAGTCAACGGAGAGGCCAGATTCACTTAACAACTGTCTTACTAATTTAACAACTGCAACGATTCACTTAACAATTCTGTCAAGAAGGGTCATAAAATGGGGCAAAACTCACTTAGCATCTGTCTTACTCAGTAACAGAAATTCTGGGCTCAACTGTAAGTCAAGAACTACCTGTATGAAGAGGGAAGCTGTAATTATAAGTTGTATCCACATAATATAGTTTCTAAATCTTGGGAAGAAATATTTCCATTTTCACTCTTCTGTTTAGTTCTGGCATTATATTTTAAGGACTCAGAGTGGAAAAGATTCAGAGAAGAGCAACCAAGATGATTGGGGCTAATCTTTATTAGATGTGTTTTAAGCTGAGGCTGGACAGCCATCTCTATGTGGATGGCTTGGATTTGAATTTGGATTCCTGCACTAAGCAGGAATTGGCCTTGATTGCTTAAATGGTACTTTCCAACTTACCGTTTCCATGATTTTAAGTTTAATTGGGATCTAGTGGCTGAATTTACATTCTGGAATGTCACTTTTCAAGAGGATTGTCTTGGTTGATTGTGCTTGTACATCACTCAAAAGAAGGATTGGCTGGGTGGTATGCAGTGAGTTGAAAGACATTAAATAAGTAAAACAAAACAAGGATAAGATAAGTATAAGAACAATAAAAAAGCACGATAAGCATGGTAAAAATCAGCCAGAATTAATACTAGCAATAAATTTAGCATAAACTTTCCAGTGTTAAAATAAACACATGCTTTTTAAATTGCTTAGAAAATAAAAAGAATATTCAAAGTGAAACTAAGCAGAACACAAAGTCAGGGGAACATTTCTTTAGAAAATACTTCATAGATGGAGACTACAACTGAAAAGAACTGAACAAAAGGTTTTAAAAATACAGATGAAATCTGGATTTTTTAAAAGTACTTTTGGGGATAATCTACTAACCCTACCATTTAAGAAATTCTATCTCTACTACAATTTCCCCCCCGTTCAATATTTTAAATACATTGTTATAACATGGATGGCCATTTTATTGATTGGAGGGGTAAAGCTGCATATACAAATAAATGTGCTGTAAAAGCATTGTCTTGGTTGCGTTTTTTGGAACGCGACTTAGACCCCAGATTTACTGGAAAATACATGCTGACTGGAAGTTCTGGGAAAGTTAGTTAGGTACTTGCTATTAGATATGGTATTCATTTTTCTCTCAGCTTTCACTAGCATGGAAGTCAACTCATTCTCTCTCTCTTTTCCCCATCTTCTGAAGATTTTTCTGGCACCAATGAATCTGCAGAAAAACAGCACTCTAATATAGAATTGCAAACCCCTGTGGAAGTGCCTTTGCATTCCTCAAGCAGTATTGTGAAGGTTCCATCTGGTATGTTTGTTCTTCCTGGCAGGAAAAGCAGTAGTGGTAAGCTAATTAATATATTTGGCTTATTAGAAATAAAATTAGAAATCATTTATGCCGTGCTTGACTTGTCCAAGAGAATGAATTTATTATGTGAAAAACATTAAATAATAATAATTAACTGCCAACTTGCTTGGAACTTTCTATATCAGTGGTTCTCAACCTGTGGTCCATTGACCCCTGGGGGGGGAACCGCGATGCATTCACAGGGGGTCTGTGAAGGCTTGAAGTAATGATTCTGATTTAAATCTTGAGTTAAGCCTTGGTAGTCTCTGGCCACAAAAGGTATTTAAAGTGGGTAAGTGATGAAGAAAAGGTTGAGAACCACTATCCTATATAGTACAATGATACTTCCATGATTTTTAGGATCTTGATTAGAAGCCAAATAATGGAAAACACCTAATCTAAGGACTGTGATACTCATTTAATAGATGACGAGGATGATGATGATTTTCCTCTTACTAAATGTAATCTCATTCCTTATATATATATTTATCTTAAGTTTAAATTGCAAGGGATATATGATTCCCAGTAGTTTTGTAAACTGTATAAAAATTGAATGAGGCTCATTTGATACATATGTGTTAAAACCTCTAATTTAAAACGTTTATCTGTCTTTCTTACTAATTCAGTACAGATCGGTGCCAAATTAAACTTGATTTAGGTTCTTCAAATGTGCCTTGCTAATTCTTAATATTAATTTTTTAAAAAAAGGTTCCAATGAAGGAAACCAGCAGTCTGTGTGCCAATCCCCCCAAGGGAGGTTAGCAATAACAGCATCTGGTTAATCATGTTTAAAGTGTGAAGCATAATAAAGATCAACCTTGGTCTGGGAGATTAGTAGATTATCTTGTAAAACGTTTTGGAATGGCAAACTATATCCATACTATTTCCAAGGTGTGGCCACAAAAATACCAGGATAGGAAATGATTTCAATAATTAATATTTGGAAATAATTTTTCTTTCTTCCACTTGTTGGTTGGCTTCATGATTGACTTCATGACCATCTTTTTGGCTGACTCCATGACTAAGATTTATAAAAATAATACTTTAAAAAAAATCAAGAATGATCACTGTCAGTTTCATAAGGACAGGACATGTTTGGTTTTTGCCTGAAATGATGAGCTATACAAAATGTTTCTATTTTCTTTTGTGTAATGAAGTTATGTGTAGCATCTATGTGCACGTGCATGTTCTCTTCAGGGTGTGTGATTAAGTATTGGTTGCGTACCTGTAAGGGTCTAATCAGAGAAGAGGCATGTTTTGTTTGTCTGTGTTTGTGTGTCTGTCTGTCTGTCTGTACACACACACACACACACACACAGAGACACACAGACACTCAGATATGTAGTATGTATGTATGTATATAATCATTTTCTCCTTTGTGTGTTCACATACTGTATATACATAGAGAAACAAAGCATGACTTTTCTCTGATTAGATCATATTATTGGCTCAATATGTATTGAAATAGTCTAATTACAGCAGGGCCCTTTTGTCTGTTTCTGGTTTTGTTCTGTTTTTGACATACCCATGTGTACATTTCTGAGTATTTATGCCCTGAAAAGCAGAGTAGGCTGCATAACTTTCACTTTGGGTCATGTGACAGAGAGGACTTGGTAATATTCCAAACCATTACTCAGTTGCCTCTCCCTGAAGGATAGATACATTGCGGGGATTTTTCCATGGATTTTTTTTCTCTGTAACTTCTAGCCACATTCTGTTGTCTGGGTTTCCTTTCATTCTGTTCAGTTCAAATTTCCTTTCATTCTGTTCAGTTTTCAGAGAATTATCCTGCCAGCGGGCAGACAGGCAGAGTCTTGTCCTCTTTTCCACATATTTTGCTACCATTCCGCTTAGAGAGTGAGTGTAAAAAAGAAAAACATGACCGGTTGACTAAAACCCAGCAGATCTTTTATGTCAGGGCGTGAGGGTTTACTTCTGTGAATCTTTTTTTATGTGCCCTCATGGCAGACTTATAGATCTACAACAGCAATTATATAATTGTGGTAATTGGGAGAATGATTCTTGATAAATATATAACTATGTATTCCAAAAATTGCTATTTTAAAATGTTTTAAGGGACACAGAAAGGTCGCTTAAAATATACAAATATAGAATCCCTACCCATTTAAAAGACAGTACAAGTTCTATGTCAGTGATATATTATTTTGAAATGTACTATAAATATTTTAGCATTAAATATTTCTCTTAGAGCCAATTCACATGTTATATTAGATTTATTTTGACAATCTTGGTTTCAGCTAGCCATTTATTTTAAAGAAAAGTTTTTGTCCAATCTCAAGCAGGACTCCATGCAACTGTTTTTCCTTACAAATTAACACTTTTGTTTTAATAACATGCTACCTCCAAAACACCTCCTGGTGTTCAAAAACAGAAACAGAAAAAACAATTCCAAAACAACCACAAAAGTAGAGTCCTATAAAACAAAACAAAAAAAATAATACTTGAGTTAATTTTAATAATCTGTTACCTTGCAAATTCCTAAAAGAAGAAGCAAATTTTCAATAGTCACCTAAAATGAGTCTCAGGCACCAGAATTCTTTCAGTGTGGAAGACTACATTGACCAGTTTAAAGATATATTTTAAAACCTGTAGCACAGCATTTCTATATGGTGATTTTGGTTGCCTTTTTCATGTTTTTTCTAATAGATGTGTTTTTTTAAAAAGGTGCTTTATATGAGCCAATATTTTAGACACGGTCCTGTATATTTTTGTTTAAGGAACTGCATGCAGTCCACTGTTCATCGTTCAGGATCCTCTTGAAGATTCAGTGTTTGATTGTAACACTTCTCCCAGAAGAGCAAGTGAAAAAGGGAAGAAAAGGCAAAAACATTTTTCTGGAAGGACTTGCAGTTTCAGTACTGAAAGCAGAGCAGACATGCTGCTGAAGAAGAACAGCTTAGACTCTAACTCCAGTGATCTTGCCATAATGATGGGAGCAGATGCAAAGATCCTCACCGCCGCTCTATTGGGGGCCAAAACCTCTCCACCCCATATGAGTAAATCACATCCTTTTGATGATGCCAATGGCATACAATTCTTCTGTGGGTCAGACAGTCCCAGAACTGATGCAGAAGAAAACACATGGGAAATAGGGGCTAGCTCTTCACCAGTTGTGAAAGAACCTGGAGATCAATTGAAAAACGGACTCAGTGACAGCACAGTCGAATCAGAGTGCAGTAGCCCCAGACCTCCTGATACCCTTCAGTCTAAAACTGAGCAAGGAGAACCCAAAGAGACAACAAACAAAAGGAGTAGTTTTTATGGTGTAGCCAAGCCAGTTGAAAGGGAAGATGTTCAAATGGGTTTGGATCCGTTATCTTTGCTGGCCACAGAAACAAAAGCCATCAAACCCGCTGAGCCGGAAGAAAAGATCATGTCACCAGTTGCAGCACGCAATCTGGCTGAGGAAATTGAAAGCTACATGAATCTAAAAAGTCCCTTGGGCAGCAAATCTTCCAGCATGGAATTACACAGGAAAGAGAGCGACCGGGAAGAGGATTCCCCTAGTTCATCAGGGCCCAGTTTAGAGAGAAGGTCAAGCTTGGATTTCATCCCCCTGCCCCCAACACCACAGATTCAAAATGTTAATCATAAAAGTCCACATGACTCCAGGTCCAAAACCTTTACTGGAAGGCCAAAGCAACTGGCTCTTTCGCGCACCCAAAAAGAACGGACGATATCTTTAACAGGGCTGGGTCGTTCTCCTCAGGCTTCATTGGGTGCAGTTGTCCCCTATCTGACAGGGCTGAAGCTAGACCACATACTATCTGGGCCTAAAATAGAGGTCTTGAAATCTGGCATGAAACAAGCAGCTAACGTCGCCAGCAAGATGTGGGGAGCAGTGTCATCAGCATACAGTTATTCGGATGATGAGGTAAATGTTGTGCCGTTTTTTTTCCCCCTCTTCGTTTTTAACCCACCAATGTAAGTGGTAAGTTCAGTTGTCTCAAGTAATCTTCCCACAGTAGACTTTATCTTAATATGGCAGAGATCACCAAGATCTTACATTAAATGTTACTCCTATAAATTATTTCCCTCTTGTTCTGACAGTATTTTAGAAGGTGCCACAAATGTCTGGGTCAAACTTTTAAATCACATTTATTTGGATTGCAAAAAGGAGGGATAATTTATTCCAGAAAAGGATTGTTAATCAGATTAATATAGTTGAATTTCACCCATGTCATCCATAATATTGTAACACAGAACACAAATTGGTTATACTGTTCTTACCTGAAGCATGCATTTTGATTTCCTGTTGTAATCTGTGTTTTCTTAATGCAGATAGTAGGCAATTCATAGGCTGCGTCCACCCCATTGAGGCTTTCATGCTGCCTTTGAATTTTCTCTTCATTTGCCAGCAACTTCCTAGGTTAATTTTATTTTGAGAATGTGAGGAATTTGAAAAGCAGGATTTCTCTTTAAATTGCATTCCATGTGTTATGGCAGGGGCAAAATGATAACCATATTTGCAATAGCATTCACTAACCTTTACTTTTGAACAATAAAATGACTAAAATTCATATAATCTGTTTTTTCATATGAGGTCCTGTGGATTTTTTAATTATTAATAAAAAGGAAAACCACAATAAATTTAAGATAATATTGCATGCAAAAAAGGAAGACTAGTTATAAATATCTGTTTGAGGTACTTCACTGTCTCTTTTATCATATTTGTAGCACTTAAAGATATTAGTATTTCTGCAAAATATTCATTGTAAATAATATACTTGGGGGTTTTTTGGGGCGGGGGGGTTAAGTCTCCTATATACACTGTGAAATCACCCAATCTCAGTGGCCTGAAAAGCATTAGGTATTATTCTGTTCCTTACCTACCAAAGATATCTTTACTGGTTTCTTCTCTCAGGCTTTAATTTCCCTCTTAATCCATTTCAGAAATTTCTTCAACCAGTTATTCTTTGTCTCTTGAGAGATTTGTTGCAAACACATTAAACAAGAAGGCAAATCACACACACTTCTGAAATGTCAGGGCCTTGGCATTTTCAATAATAATAACTAAATAGTGAACCTTTCACATTAGTGTAAGATTCTGAATTTGTCTTTTACCTTTTAATAAAAGGAGGAAAACAGCCGACCTGATTTTACCTTTCCTGCTGGCTTTGAAGATCATATATTAGGTGTCTGTCAGTCACCAAAAATAGGAATCCCAGGACTGGCTACCAGTGAACTTGCGCAGAGCACCACAAGTCTTGGAAGCAGCAACAGCAGTGGAGACTTAGGGAAACCACACTATCCTACAGGTACCATAAACTTTGAATTGTTCATCAGGTCTATCCTTCTCCATGCAGAAATCCAGATTAGTACATCCCCAGCAGATGGCTGGCTGTGTTTTTTTCCCTTACAAGTAGAGTGGTTTGTTCAATGTTTTAAAACTGTTGCCTGGAAATACCTGAAATTTCTTCCATTAAATGTTTATGATAGTCTGCATTTGGGAAACATGGTCTGGGAGAAAAATATATTGAAAGAACCTCATTTGATACTGAGTAAATAGAACTTTTCCTTTTCTTTGTCCCCAAACAACTAATTGCATAAAAAAATGTTCTTTAATTTTCAAAACGGACAGGATGAAAGTTCTACTAAAGGGCTAAGCACTAAGGATTGCCAATGGATACGTTACATCACGGTTGCTTTTTTTATTCAGTGGATACTGAATATTTTAAAAAGTAGCATGTGTTACTTGGTATTCCTTCATATAGAAGTATTCATACTTTCTAAAACACTCCAAAATAAGCCCACCAGCAATTTCCCATCTAAATTCTGGCTTGATGATGGGTGGAAAAGTATAGCACAGAGGCATGAAATGAAATGGGCAAAAATTTGTCCAATTTGAAGTGGCATCAATACTTTAAAAAATTCAGTTTCATGTGATGGGAAAATAATTATGAACCCATATCTCTGGGAGAATATAGCATCCCCCCCACCAACAATTCTTTAGGTTTGGTTTTTAAAAAGCAACTTTTCAGAATCGTATGGGAACTTATTACCTAATGAGGTAGTAAGAGTTGTGTGTAATTTAATAATTTTTAAATTGTTCCACATTACTTTACACAGGGGAAAATCAATCTTCACAAGGTATGAAAGGTTTGGATTCTGATAAATCTGAACATGGCTCTTCATACAATACCAGTCTATCCAGTATCTTCCAGAACTGTTCAATGGAGGTAAAATATATAATCTTGAATAAAGATATTGCTATATTTTATGCAAAATTAATTTTCTTTCAGAACATTTAAAAAAATAATAAACCTTAAAACATTTCTCTTTCCTTTGGAGAATACTGTTTTTGAAACAAATTATTACTTCAATAATTGTTAAAAGTATCTGTGCCTTTTCCTATATTATTTGCATTCAATCCACTGATCCACATACACTGTCTGTATTTACTGTTAATACATACACCGATTTAACACGTCAGTTTTGCTTTGGCAGGTGCCTTCCAGGCACTTTGGGCTGAAATTCATTTTCAGCCCTAGTGTGAGTTGATGGGAGTTGCAGTGTTACATATTTCTGGTGCCGAGAGCTGAGAAAGATTGAGTCAAATATGTATAATATGCAGATTAAAAAACATTAATTGCCTGTTGAAGTATGAAGTAGAAAAATATTTGAAATTGTGGAAATACTGCACTGAGCTAGACATGCTCCTGGCCAGTTAAATATGGATTTTTTTGTGTTCCTCATGAACAAAACAACTTGGAGTTTTGATATCTGTTTGTTTTCATGTCTTTAAAGAAAACATTTTTTTTTAAATAGGTCTTAATGTCCAGCTGCTCTCAGTGTCGAACCTGTGGTGCCTTGGTTTATGATGAAGAAATTATGGCAGGATGGACTGCAGACGATTCTAATTTGAATTCTACATGTCCATTTTGCAAAAATGCCTTTTTACCTCTCCTTAATGTGGAATTTAAAGACTTACGTGGCCTTGCAAGGTTGGTAGACATTGGTAGCCACTAAATAGCTTTGAGATACCTTCATAATTCATCCTTTGCAGATGATAACAAACTTGGCAGTCATCCAAACAAACATTTGGTATGCCGTTCAATTGTATCACATACTGGATATGGATAAGTTTCTATTTATATGGGGAAGCAATTTTAGTTTTTCTCTTATGCTTAATGTGTGTTTATATGTTATGATCTCTATTGACAAATTGGTCTATAAATTTCATTTTTAACCAGAGTGGAAATGCAGATTGAGTCCTCTAGTCTTAATGTAGAAATTAAAAACAATCATATTCATGATAAATTTGGAATAACCAGAAGTACAGGTAGTCTTCAATTTGCAACAGTTCATTTAGTGACTGTTCAAAATTACAGTGGTACTGAAAAAAGTGACTTGTGACCATTTTTCACACTTACAAAAGTTGCAGCATCCCCATGGTAATGGGATCAAAATTCAGATCCTTGACAACTTGCAATATCCTGTGGTCATGTGATCATTTTTGTGACCATCTGACAAGAACAGTCAATGTGGGAAGCCAGATTCACTTAACAACTTTGTTACTTATTTAACAATGGTGGTGATTCGTTTAACAACTGTGACAAGAAAGGTCGTAAAATGGGACAAAATTAACTTAACAAATGTCTCACTTAACATAAATGTTAGGCTCAATTGTGGTCTTAAGTCAAGGGACATGTATTACAAAGGACAAAATTATATTTATTACAGTTCTTTCTTTTTTTGTAATTGTATACTTTCTGCTTGTTTCTTTCCTTACCAGTTTGCTTTTGAAACCAAGTACCTCTGGTGATAGTTTACACAGCACTAACATTCCATTAACCACGGATTCTCTGGAACCGAAATCTGCCTCCATCCCTACCACCGATCTAATCAGTTTTTCAGAACCTTCAAGTGCCAACCAGACCATCAATGAAGAAAATAGCAGCCCAGCAACACAAAGGTACAGACAGGAATTAAATAGGACTGTCTTGCTTGGGAGAAATGTAATGGTTCACTTGAAAATCAGATTTCTTTCAAATATAAGATGCTAGACTGGCATCATGTTCCCCATTTTGTAGAAAAGGCCTTATTTGGAAATGAAATTCCGAGACCCAGGAAAGTGTTGGTATGGGAAGGTGAAGCATTCATCCGATTCATTCATCGCATCATATAAATATGTAATAATGCTCTTAACTGGATTACTGAAGCCACAATTTTAAAAACACTTTGTGCATCATAGATACAGTAAAGAAGGCATTCTTGTGAATGGTAGATTCTGCTTGTGAGTGCTGACAGTATTGCAGTCAAAATAGTACTAAGAAACTTGCAAGGAATCAGTACAATTAGATTCGTAAAAATATAACATTTTTGGAAGGAGAGGGAAGCCCTTAAAGAATGCTGCACCACATACCCCTAACCTCCCTGAGCATATTTCGGAGTAAGAAATGCTTGGAAAAAGGCATGGTTTGTTCAGCTGAACTACTGAACCAGAAGCTCATTGAAATATTTTGTTGCAGTTTTGCTAGCTTTAATGAGTGTTTGTATTGTGTTTCAGCATCAATACAGCAGAGGAAGAAGACAAAAATCTCAAACGCGTAAAGCCTCCTGTTACAAATAATTCATCAAAACGCGGGACTTCTCTGACTCGGAGTCACAGTGTTGGTGGCCCACTGCAAAATATTGATCTCCTGCAAAGACCATCTCATGGCATTTCAACTGTTAGCCTCCCTAATAGTTTACAAGAGACAGTGGTAGGTAACCAAGCTTTTCCTGGTAACATGTACAGGAACTAGATATCAAGAGAGACTTCCTTTTTCCTATTGTTTATTCTGCCTCAATTGTAATTCAGCTTCCATAGATTTTGTATATGATTTGTTTTAGAAAACAGAGCTCTCTTCTCTCTCAAATGGTTTCTGTATTGTCATTCACCAGATAAGGTAGTGATATTTGTACATTTACAATATTGCATGTATGGCATTCCTGTTAATGCTGCTCAAAGATTTATTGAGATTTTTTTTTTATTAGGGAGAGAAGCTGAAATAAGTGCATTGTTTGCTCACTAATGATCATTGGTGGGTTGTTGTTTTTTAGGATCCCTTAGCGAAAAGGACAAATCCTTCGCCTGTATCCGTTCCCTATTTGAGCCCATTGGTTCTCCGGAAGGAGCTTGAATCTTTGTTGGAGAATGAAGGAGAACAAGTAATTCACACATCAACATTCATCAATCAGCATCCCATTATTTTTTGGAATTTGGTCTGGTATTTCCGACGCCTGGACCTCCCAAGTAACTTGCCCGGTCTCATTCTAACATCTGAACACTGCAATGATGGAACGCAGGTAAGTGACACTTTGGCACCACAAGCAAATGCAGACCCTTAATATTTGGAGGAAAGCCATAGTTCTTTGTAAGAGAAACAACTAAAAACTGATTACTTTCCCTCTTTGTTCATTCTGGAAATGACCACTTCTACTGATAGTATTGAATGAATATATCTGGAGAAGCATTTGTACTTCAAAGTCAAATATGTCGATGGGATGAATTTTAACAGATGCCACTGATTGAAATGAAATGACCTTGAAAAAAGAAGGACTACTTCATAGCCGTAGAGCAGTGTTTCTCAACTTTAGCAAATTTAAGATGTGCGGACAACTCCCAGAATTCCCCAGCCAGCATACTATACAGTTTTAACTTAGCTGAAATTGTGAAATGCTACATTAGGGCAATCCAGTCCAAGGGTTGTGGGAGAGGTTTATATGTTTACAGAAGTGGATTGTCCAGAACAAATGGTTCATTCTGTTCTTTTTCCATTCAAAATATTGATGGAAAGGTCAAAATTAAGATGTGTCCCATTGGTTTCAGGGGAGAGGGAAATAAAAGCAGGAGAGATCTTTACATTTTCTTCTTGTTTACTGAAAATTAATGAACTCTGGGCTGGAATTCTCAAATTTGTAAATGTTCACATTAAGACTCAAAGTGAGAGAGAACAGTAACATTGAAATAACACCTTAATCCTTTTGAGATTTGTTTCAGGGTAAGTTTAGAAGATATGGATTGAACATGCTGTCACTGGATGAGCCTGTTTGTTTTAGCGGTTGAGGCAAACAGGAGACTGGGAGCTCTACTCTCACCTCAGGCATGAAAGCCAGCTGTGTGACATTGGGCCAGTCACTGTCTCTCTCAGCTTAACTTACCTCCCAGGATTGTTGTGGGAAAATAGCAGGAGGAAGCAGCATTGGATGTATTTGCTTATAAAGTTGCTTATAAAGTAATAAAACTAACATAAAAACCTAATATATAAAGCAATAAATTTTTGCTGCCTCAGTTACTTATAAAAACAATAAAAACTGATAAGAACAAAGCAAAAGCAAAATGCATTAAAGCAGCCTTAACTAGTTATTTAACATTTAAGGTTAAAAGTACAGTTATATAGGAGGTAGGTTCTTATTCTGTGACACTGTTTTCTATGAAAGTATGTCTAAGCAAAAGCTTTTCCTGCTTTATAGAGTCCTTCATTTGCAGTAGATTGATAACAAATCTTTTCCTGTTCTTGAATTTGGCTTGATTTAAATTGGAAGACATGAACTGTATTTGGCGTTGCTAAGCGTTGGCAGGATTCTCAATCTGTCGTAAGCCGATAAGAGTATGCTTCTTCCATTCTAGCTTCCTCTGACCAACTTGTCTCAAGACAGCAAGCTAGTGTACATACAGCTACTGTGGGACAACATCAATCTTCACCAAGAATCCGGGGACCCACTATATGTATCTTGGAGAAATCACAGTGAGTAAAATGTTTGTGAGAATTTTGTCCAGACAAAAATCTTTGCTGTTGTGAGAAATTCTGAAATAATCATTTACTTATGCATATCTGAGACCAACTTTTCCAAATGTCAAAAACCCATCTATTTATTCATTTATTTTGTTTCTTTTGTTTGTTTATTAACTGCCCATCTCCCTCAGAGATAATTTATTCCAAATGTCTAGGTTTAATTTTGTCCTAAGAAAACACTTATAAATTAATAGGTGGACAAAGTTTTTTTCATGAGCAGAAAACATTTTCAGTTCTGCAAAGTTAAAGACTTTTCAGATATGATGTCCACAGTGCGTAGCTCAACATTTAACTTTCAAAGAAAAAAAAATGTAAATTTTTCCAGAATTGAGATGAAGTATCAGGGAAAGAATCACAAGTATCCCAATCAGAATTTGGCCAGTAGTCACAACAGCTTCCACTTTAATAAACGCAATAGGATTTTGTTGCCATAAGAACTTAGTTCTCCACAGAAAGTCTTCCATCTAAATAATATGCTTATGCTGCATAGGTCTTCAGCTATTATCATATATAATCTGTCTAGTTCTGGATATCGAGTACTAAATGTCAAACTGTCTTTACTCTTCCAATTACTAAAACTGTGTTTAGTTTTTCCCTTTTCTCTGTTCCCTCCCTTGCCCTTCTCATATTCTGTCCTTCATCTTGGATCTCTCAATTCTTCCACTTCTATCTTTTATCTTTCTTCATGTCTTTTGTTGTGTCACATTTTCTTGGGTTGCATGACTTTTTTTTTAACCTTCTATTTTTTCCCTTCTTCTAGATTCTGCAGAAAAGAAGCCCTCGGTCAATTCTGAAGAGCAACAAGCAATAAGCACTTTAGTCGAAAACATCAAACTGAGCATTCAGCACAATGATGTGGTTAAACCTCTTAATCTCCTTGTGCAGAGAGTTAAGCGGGATGAGAAACGGCAAAGGTAAAGGGTATCACCCCTTGGATATGAACGCTAACTCTTTGAAAAGTTCCATGCGTCCCTAGTACATTTAGCATGCAGTTGTCCATTGGGCTCCACTTTTTGCCACATTAGGTGGTATGTAGATGCTTTCCTTGATATGGGATAATTGTTCTGACCCAGCTCCCCAAACACGACAAACCCTCTGATGAAATCTCAAAAGATTCCTTTATTAGAAATTCTGGCAGCTCCGGCAAAAAATTTTTCTCGCAGGCTAACAAGCCCAGCCGGATGGAAGATTAATAGTTGTCTGCCAGACCTATTGTCTCTGCTCCCTCTTTTATCCCCAGAGCTAGGGTGGGGCATTAGTAGCAGTGGCTCTTCCTTCTCCGGGATCAGCCCACGGTTTTCCACTGCTCTCCCCTTCTCTGCCTTCTGTGCAGTCGTGCACGTCAGGCTCTCGACCCAGCTGTTCATCTTCTTCTTCATCAACCACCTCCAGACCTGGGGGCTGTTGACTCTCCATAAGGGCTGGCAAATGGCCCAGACTCTATCTCTGTCTCTGTCTCTCTGCCAGCTCCATTCCCTCTTCCCCTTCGGAGCTCCCAGGTTGCCCTGATGCTGACCCCGACTCCCACGCCACCACCACCTCCTCCTGATTTGGCTGCTGGAGGGGCCGGTGGCCGACAGGCCACAACAATGATAGCAAGTTAGCATTTATTTGAAGCAGGTCTTTCCCCCAAATAACCTATAATAGGTGAAAAGTGGCGTAGAACACTTTTGGAAAGAACTGCTATTGAAAAGAAGTAAAATTCGTGGAGGTGCACGTAACTGTAGCATCCATAATCAAGATGCCTTGAACAGTGATTTATGCTGGGAATGGCCTGCTGGCCTCTTGCTTTAACCCTTTTCAGAACACCTGTACAATACACCTTTTCTCTTGCCTCATGTGTTCTCAGTATATTCCATTTCAATCTTGGTTTTTTTCCTCATCCGTAATCATTGGAAGGAAAGAGAAATATTTATGTGTATATGTACATGTTTTTGTGCATGAAGCAGTCATGAGAAACAAAAAGGTCCATTTTATTACTTGAAAATCTAATTTTGTGTGGAATTAGTTTTAAATGCTTTTTTTCCCCTTTGTCCTACCCTCCTGGAATATGTAACTGTTAATGTATAGTGATTGTAAAGTTTATGCTCTAAATCTACAACTGGAAACAAAGGAATCAATTATAGACATTAAAAAATTATGCCAGTAAATAATGAAGAACAGTTCAAACTGATACTTACAGTAATATCTGGATACTTTTAGAGCATACTTTTATAGCATTTCTTCACACAGCTCAGAGGATTTTTGCATGCTAACTTTAAAATTAGGTTTCCATTGATGTTAATATTCTTACTGAAAAAAGGCTAGAGCTAGACTATCTGATTAATGAAATTCACCTGAAACTTAACATAGATCCCTTCCTCTAGGCTAGCCTTGGAAGGAGGAGTTGAACTTGTCTAAATGTCTATGCATTTTTTTCAGGAGTTTTTACAGAGAAATCCTTTTCCTGTCCCTGGTGTCCCTTGGAAGAGAGAATATTGATATTGGTAAGAAAATTAATACAGTATATTATAGCATGACTTATCTCTGATAGGAAATCTTCAGCATGTTTCACTAATCCATGGGCTAAGCCTTTTCCAAAAATTATTTTGTCCTGGAAGACAGGGGAGTACTAACTGTCAGTTTATATTCTTGCTTTAAAAAAATCAAACCAATATTAGAAATGTATAGCATTACAAACAAAACTGGCTGGGTTATGGGGGTTATTGTAACTTTCATTTTTATTTAATTTATAGCCATGTTCCCCACAGGAGTCAGTGTTAATTTTTCCCAACAAAGTAGGTTGGCCTGTGTTTGGCTGCTGAAATCAGCCAGTGAGTTTCCGAAGAAGATAGACTTAAACCATGACCTCTCATATTTAATCCACCACTTTTAGCCACCACAGGGGTCTTGGACAAGCAAATCAAGAATGAAGAGATGTATCTTATCTCATAAAATATGTTCGTGTTTTGAATTACGGGGGAATAAAAGGGTGAGAAATCAATTCATGCAGTATAATTTCTGTGCTTCTTGACTCTTAAATTGTCTTCCTCTTTGCAGAGGCCTTTGACAATGAATACAGAACTGCATATAAAAGCCTTCCGGTAGAAGTACTCAAAAAAATGCAAAAGATTGATTCTCCACCCAGTGACAATGTAGAGTGGTGCAGAAAATGCTTTGGGGCACCTCTCATATAGATTCCACCATGGAAGACTTATCAAGAAAAAAAGGAGAGATAACTGGGAATGTATAAATTTTGCTTCAAGCTCCAGAATTCTAGTTAAAACAACTGCTGTGTGCAATCCACTTAGCCAACATTGTTCTGTGACACTTGATATTTATACCAGGTCATGAATTAAATACGCTAACTCAAAATAATCCAATTTACAGTTAACTTTCAACCATGCTCTATTTAATCCTTCCCTTCCATCTAGAAGGTGAAGAATGATAACAAAGGGACTTTAATTTGCTTGCTTTCTTGTAAGACTTCAGTGTTCCTTCTAGCTCAAGTTAGCCTTCTATTTCCCGAGTACATTGATTTATGTATGGAGGAAATTCTACTACATTTGTATGTGCATATTTAATGTACATTTTCATTATGAAATGCATTTATTTCCCTTGGTTCAAAAGAATGGGCTGTAGCTTTAGCAAAGGGGCCTCTTAAAAGCCATCACTATCCCAATTCATAGAAAAATTATAACCTTTATCCTGGCTGTGTAAAGCAAAGCTTGTTGTTTCTTCTTCTCATAGTAACTTTTTAAAGTGTACATATGTTTTCTGAAGCAATGATGGGTGTCTACCCGGAGTGGCTCTAAGATTTTTTTTATAAAGGAAAACTGAGAGTAGATGAACAAAGGTACATAAAGGGGCATGGAATATTCATATTTTTAGCATTCATAGAAAACTGCATGTGCAGGTCTGTGTATATCTATATACACAGACCCACAAACATATATATGTGTGTGTGTACTTACACACACACACACACACACACACATATACATAAAATTTCAGTGCACTAATGTTCCATCCCTGCTTATTTTTTCTAACCTGTGGGATATGTATCTTTTTTGCACTGGCTGAGGTAAATACTTCTGTGCTAAATGTATTTATACTCATACACTTGAAGATGAATTTACTTAAAATGAAAATACTAATTTTTAATGTTAAAGTATTTTATTTCCCTGCTTATTATATTCACACCTCAGTTTTCTTCACAATTCCTGGGTTTATCTCCAATATCAGATATTCATTTAAAGCAGTATTGTAATAAAGATTTAGGGACGGTTCAATGATTTTGAACAATTATGGATTTTAAAAATGGATTAAGATTTAGATACAAAATGCATTCTTGATCATGACTTTTCAAGGCTGTCTTTTGCCCATATAATTAATCATTCTTTAGTAGTACTGCTGGAGATAAACCATTGCAAATCTTAGTCAAAGTGAAATTATCACAACATTACACAGAATACAACATTTTGCACTTTTTGGAACAATCTGGTATGATAGCATTTTTTAAAAAAATTATTTACTCTAAGCCACATTTCAAAGTTCTTGGAAATTTGTTTTTAAAACAATTTCCATGTTTTTAAAAGTTACTGTTTAAAACAGTTTCCATTGTATTACTTTCTGGTCTCGCCCTTTCAAGGAAGTGTTGGGGGATTAGGGTGTTAACACTTTCTGTACAATTACCTATTTTAATTTTTGAATCACTTATGTCCATCAGCAAATACAATGGGTTTTTCATCTACGCATGATTTTATGTTAATAAACCTCTTGTGAAACACAATTCTATATAGTCATATTTACATTATAGCAATTATATCTTAACATAAGGACAGAAATAATGCTCTAGATTTTTTTTAAAAAGCAAGCTATTTACCACTACCGTTTTTTTGTTTCATTTATAAACTAACATAGTTTATAGTTTATTTTTCATCAGAAGCAATGTGGGCTGTCCTAAATCACTGCATGTTTAATGGCAATCTTTTTGATCCCTCTATAATGTCAAAATTCAAAACTAGCTTATGAACTGCCATTAGCCTTGTACACAGTAAGACACTTTGACTGTTGATCCAGAAGTACAAATATTTTGACATTTGGAGCACCAGTGTGGGATAGACTTGTATCGCCATATTCACTGTTATTTTAATTTTTTAAAAAAATAAATGTGATACTGGCACAAAGGAATATGCCACCCTCAAGTACAGTACCATTCTTATTTGCAAAACATGCTCTGAATCCTGCAAAAATTCCAGAACATCTTTAGAAAGCAAATATAGGCAGCCTAGATTTTTTTTAAAGTATTTTTCCCCCAATACACACAGAGAAAAGCCAGGGGAGAAGCAGGTCTGTCATCTTACCTTGTTTTAGATCTTATGTTCCATGAGTCATTTCATGACAACTCTCATGCTCCCGTTTCCAGCATGCTGAACATCCCAACAGGGTAGCAGGTTACATCTCAGGATAGTGAACATGTATGTCCATGAGGGAGTTCCATTCTTGAATGAAATTTTCCAGCATCTCTAAACAATGCCATTGCTGACTAAAATCTTTCTTCAATTTCTGTCAAGCATTCAACAATCTTGCACTTACCAAGGTTGCCTAGCCAACTGCCCAATAAATTGTAGTTAACAAACTAAATTTAGATCAATGACTGGATTTAATCCTACACAGGTTCCATATCAAAGCTCGTGTGCCTTTTGAATTTGAATCACCTTCAATCTTATTTAACTGAAATATGCATAGTTCAAAACAATATTCAGTGTTTCAATGTTGATCGAAAGGTGGAGATCCAATTGCAATTGAGCTTTTGCTAATCACAAGCTATTTCCAAATTTGCTCTTGAATCAAGTACAGACACAGATCCCTCTTACTATCTATAGAGGAATAGCCAATTTTGCCCTTACTGCATGTATATTAGAAGCCACAAAGGAGGAGTTAGTGATTATGCAAATTATGGGATCTCATATCCTTTGATGTAGATAATATTTAATATGTTAAGTGAAATCGGGACTTAATTTAAGTGTTTTATAGTTCTTTACTGATTCAAAGGTTCACATTTCAATAGTTGGTGAACAATAAAAGGAGAGTATTCAGTTATAAAATGCCAATTATATTTGTACAGCTAATTTTTATACATATTTGGAAATCCCTGTTTTGGGGAGGGGTAGAAAAATATCCCTCAGGGCAACCTTATGTATTTATGCTATAAAACAAGATTTGAGTTAAATGAGATTATGTGGAGGGTATCTGCTCTGAAATACCATGTAAAAATCCACATAATTCAGAGCTATTTAATTGTAAGAGGGAAAAATATGGGAATATAAAATTGCACACAACTTGCTACTGTTGATGTTATTACTGCACATCAGACTGAAATATCCACTGTCAGATAAATTAAGACCTCTATTGAGTAGTTTTGTAAAAAAAAAAAAAAATTAACAGAGCAATTAGCAGTGAAGCTGTTTCCCATTTTCAATTTATTTTATAAAATAGGTTTGCTATAAAAAACATTTAAGACAGGTTTATGCTCATTAACTAATCTGCATAATCTAAAACACTGTACTATATTTGGCTTCAAATTAAACTTTATAATTTAAAAAGGGCTGTTTCTAAAATATGCATTGGATGACCATAGTTTTAGAAGACTAAAGAGAAATGTGAACCCTGATCACCTCTTCATAGAAGCAATCTTAGAAAACATGTTTTACAGCTTCTAATACTTTAGAAATGAAGCACTGAACATCCCCAAGCTTTTAATGTTTTGAGGAAAACTTGCGAGTCACCTTTAAAGTCAACATTAACGGATACATTTGTTTTTAATCTTCCAAGCAACGTTAGAGAAACTGGAAATTACCTTGCATTGTAGATAATCGAAGTATAAAAAGGGAGAGGATTTAGAAACAAAGAGAAATGCATGAGTTTCTTTAGGAACTTTTCATTATGCATTTGCAATATGGAAAGACTGACATGGGAGAGTTTTCTATTACCAATGCAGTAATTATAATTGTACAAATACGATGTCAGCTGTATGCTTGCTTCAATCTAACAAATACCTACTTTCCTGTAGATAAAAAGGTGGTAAATTTTTTGAATTACTTTTGTATAGGAACCCTCAGTGATTTAGAGAAACCACTTGTTAATATTATCATTAAAAAAAATAAAAAGTATACAGATACACCTTCTCATGTCTGTTTTTTGTGTGCGAAGGAGATACTGTTTAGCAGGTTTAAAGGGAAAATTAAATGTATGTTCCATACGTATGCCATGGTGTCATAGTGGTTAGAACACAGTATTGCAGGCTGACTCTGCCCTCAGCCAACAGTTCTATCATAATCGGCTCAACGTTAACTTAGCTTTTCATCCTTCTGAGTTCAGTAAAATGAGGTTCCAGATTGTTGAGGGAAATATGCTGACACTGTAAACTGTTCAAGAGAGTGCTATGAAGCACTGTGGAGTGGCATATAAGTCTAAATTCTATTGCTATAAGAATGAAATAAATGAGAGGCCACTGCTGAGCAAGGAAAGGCCAAAATCGTCACAACCCTGAATGATACAAAAATGAAACCTCTGCATCAAGCAGAAATACAGTCATTCGTTCATTAAAGTGGTAATTTGACAGGAATTCGCAAAAAAGGATGACAGAATCAAGTTTGTTCTGATCATAAAAACTTTATTTTAATGTTTTTAGCACAGTTCATTGCTTACTTCTGGCTTGATTCAGATTTAGATGTAGAAGCTCTCAGAGAAGAAAGTCTACGCCTCTTAGCTATTTGTTCTTGCCGCTTCTCTTTTGCCTCCTGGAAAAAGAGGATTAAGAATATTACACATTAGCCTGGAACTGCATCTCAGTTTTTAAACGGTGTAAATTTATTGTGTGAATTTTCTTCTCTATCACCATAGCATCTACTATGCTATCTATCTAGCACCTATCTACTCCTATCCTGACAGTTTCCAAATATGTAAGTATATTTTAATAACATTTAAGGCAGTGGCCAGAAATGTCTACTACATTCACCTTGTGAAATCACCAACATGCTTAAGAAAACATATATCCCCAGCCTCATCTTCCTGTCCATAAATTAGCATAAATTTTGCTATTACATGACACACTTTCAAAAATCCCCTTGTTCCCCAATATCCAAAGTATTTCCCTAAAGCAGTGTAAGCCATTTTTAGGTGAAAGCAACAGACTTGATTCTGTATAGTAAAACTGTACTATATTTATATTCCTAGCACTATCTACTGTTCACCCTCATCCGCTCGCTCTTCGTATCATACAAGTGATGCTGAGTGAGCGCTTCAATTACCTGTGGATTAAAATAGCTAGGGATAGGATAGAACAAAGACGTTAACTTATTTTATTTGCTCCATGTGTTGGGACACATTTTCACATGTCAGTACTTCACTGAAGTTAACAGGTGGCTTGGCCCCCCCATGCTAATCACTTCATGGAGTAAGAAATATTCATGTTATGTATAAACTCAATTACACCTATTATACACGTGTGGGTGATTAGTCCCTGAGCCAACCATTTCCCCCAGTTTCAGCTTTAACCAATATTCTGCAGTGAGGAGGCATCTATCTCTGATACATAGCTTTACGTTCAAGAATCACATGAAAAGGAACACATAACCTTCCCACCAAAGAATCCCCTTCCCCAAGCACATAGGAAGCAGACCTTCATTCTCTTAGCCAGAAGCTTGGCATACTCGGCAGCCTCTTCCTTATTCTTCTGAGTTCGTTGTTTCTTTAGAGCAATGCGTCTACGCTTATGCTGCAGGACTCTCGGGGTCACCAAACGTTGGATTTTGGGTGCCTTGGTCCTTGGCTTCTTACCTAAGATGGGCAAGACAGGTATGTCAACAATTGAACAGCTCTTGGAAATCTGAGACTGATGGTCTATGCTTAAAACAGTTAATACACAAGTAAAATAATTACACAGGGTAAATTGGCTGATCATTAAGGCCATGTCTTCCCAGCTACTATGTGATACAAAGGCATACTTTCACATAATCCACAGAATATGCGAAAGGGAAATTATACGGGCAACTGTCAACTCATAAAATATTTCTGTGGTCTTTTTAGAGTTGCCAACAGAAAGGGAGACGAAGGGGGCTTGAAAGAACAGTGCGGCAGCTTGGAAATCAAAAGTGCATTCCATCAATAGTTTTTCAAACATAGTAACTAGGTGACTGAAGTTTCTGCCGCGCAAAATTCTAACTGGAGAGCATGATTGATGACTCTTGGCTATGGATGTGTCACATTGGAGAATATGAATTATGATACACCCAGGAGGTGGGAGAAAACCCCAGGGTCAAAGGTGACACAAGAGTCGGCTACACCCAGGCAGTGCCAGACATGTTAACTCTGAATACATCTTTTTGAACTTTTGGGTGTTTGGCTCAAGACTCATGATTTAATTGGAGTAACTGCCAGAATCCTGACAGCTTGCCAACTCTGAGATGCATAATCCTGACAGCAACATCAGTGGTGATATTCTACCGGTTTGGCCCAGTTTACCCAGTTCGCTCTGATGATCAGCTGCTGGGCCCATCCGCCAGCCTGGCTCTATTTCCTGCTTTTAAAGCTCAGCTGCTTCATGCAGCACAGCAGATTGCTGCGCGCCAGCTGTTGGAAGACACAGGGAGAGTGCAGGATTGCAGGAGGTTAGTATCAAACCCTCTGCGAGTACACACGCCCATCAAACCACGCCCATAGAACCAGTGGTAAAAAAAATTTGAAACCCACCACTGGGCAACATATAACCTGTCCTGGCAAACTGTGGTGGGGCATAAAATTCAATCTGATTCCTCTTCAAAAAAACATATTCAGGTAGTCCTTGACTTACGACAACTGAGTCCAAAATTTCCATTGTTAACCGAGACATTTGTTAAGTGAATTTTGCCCCATTTTATGATCTAAGCTGTTAGGTGAATCACTGCAGTTGATAAGTTATTAACTTAAACTGTTAAAGTGTTCCCGTCTTTCCCATTTGACTTTGCTAGTCAAAAGGCTGCAAAAGGGGATTCCATGACTTTGGGACATAGCAACGGTTGTAAATATGAACCAGTTGCCAAGCATCTGAATTTTGATCACACGATCATGGGGAGCTTCAAATGTCATAACTGTGAAAACTGGTCATAAGTCACTTTTTTCAGTGCCATTTTAACTTTGAATGGTCACTAAACGAACTGCTGTAAGTCAAGGACTACCTGTAGATGATAGAAGTTTAAGGCCTCTAAATCAGTGGTCCCCAAAAATGTCACCCCCAAATCACCCCACAAAGAAATTAATCCAGGCTGCGCAGGAACCCAAGGCTGCGCCACCCACGTGGCCTCTGGGAACACAAGGCTTGCATCGCTTGCATTGTGAACAATATGAGGTAATGAGCGGAGGGGGCAAAGGGCGGGGGGGGGAACTTGTCCCACTTGCCCCATGTGCCTGGCCTGGCCACCGGGCTGCTTTTTTCCGCTTCTTTCTTCTGCTTTTGGCTGCACACAAAGAAAGCAGCAAAAGTCTTTCTTTCTCGCCCCCAAACTCCACCAGAAATGAGGACCCTGCAAGGCATTCTGCTCCAAGAGGCAGGACAAGTCTCATTTCTGGTGGAGTTTAGGGGAGAGAAAGAAAGACTTCTGCTGTTTCTGCTGCTTTCCTTGCATGAAGCCAAAAGTCTCTCTCCACCCCACCCCCCCACCTCATTGAGAACGGAACTGGAGACAGTATCCTGCGATCCCAAATAAAGAATGAAAACAGGAAAACAGGTTGGGGAATTTTCCTGCAGACTTTTTTTGGGATTTTCCCAGGGTTTCTGATCCACAGGATTTAATTATGAGTTTGGTGGTCCCTGAGGTTCAAAAGGTTGGCGACCCCTGCTCTAAATCATGTTTAATTACATATTCTTGGGCAGGACCTTTGAGCACCGGCTCTTCATGTGAAAATTACTATGTAGAATCACCTTATACAGGTAGTCCTTGACTTACAACAGTTCGTTAGTGAGCGTTCAAAGTTACAACAGCACTGAACAAAGTGACTTATGACCATTTTTCACTTTGGAACTTCAAAGCGAACATTCACCACGGTCACCTGATCAATATTCAGCCGCTTAGCAACTGACTGGTATTTATGATGCTTGCAGTGTCCCAGGATCCCCACTTTGTGACCTTCTGACAAACAAAATCAATGGGGAAGAAGCCAGATTCACTTAGCAACTGTGTTCCTAACATAATCACTGTGATTTATTTAGCAAGTGTGGCCACAAAGGTTGTAAAATGGGGCAAAAGCCACTTAACAAATGTCTCACTTAGCAACAGAAATTTTGGACTCAATTGTGGTTGTAAGTCAAGGACTACTCTACCAAACCTAGTTTGAAAGGTAAGCAGGAACAAATATATTTATAATTGAAATTGATCTCAAGCATTGGTGTGCAGATAAAAAACCTCTGGATCAAGAAATCACTAACTAATAATGCAGTGTGATCATGGATTTAATGTAC